CATGAATCCAATTTAATTGACAGAAAATTTGAAACATTTATTGATTGATCAAACATTTTGATTAAATCTAATTAATTTAACTTATATAGAAAATTATTATTTTCGTTTTAATTTAAATTTTCGTTAACGAAATTTTACGTTTATTTCTTATTTACTTAATTTTTCTAACGACAAAACAGATTCAAATAATAAAGAAAACGTCCAGTTTTCTTTAGTTCACTTCATTTTCTTATTAATGAAAATTTGTAACTTTTTGTTCTCTTTATTTTTCCTAATAAAATAACAATTTCTTAATATAGAGAATTTAGTGAACATTTTTATAATTTATCAATCTTTCTTCTTAAATAAGTCAAAATTTTCTTAATTTTCCTAAAATAATATGAAATTACTTGTATCAATTACAAATGTTTACAATTTCTTTCATTTACAAAAAAATTATAAAGATATAAATCAAAAGAAACAAAAATATTTACAAACAAAATATCAATTTCTGTTCTATTAAAACTGTGACATAAATTGCGTTGGCACTTTACGATCAAACATTTTGATTAAATCTAATTAATTTAACTTATATAGAAAATTATTATTTTCGTTTTAATTTAAATTTTTTGTTAACGAAATTTTACGTTTATTTCTTATTTACTTAATTTTCCTAACGACAAAACAGATTAAAATAATAATGAAAACGTCTAGTTTTCTTTAGTTCACTTCATTTTCCTATTAATGAAAATTTGTAACTTTTTGTTCTATTTATTTTTCCTAATAAAATAACAATTTCTTAATATAGAGAAATTAGTGAACATTTTTTATAATTTATCAATCTTTCTTCTTAAATAAGTCAAAATTTTCTTAATTTTCCTAAAATAATGTAAAATTACTTGTAACAATAACAAATGTTTACAATTTCTTTAATTTACGATTGACGAAATTTTACGTTTATTTCTTATTTACTTAATTTTCCTAACGACAAAACAGATTCAAATAATAATGAAAACGTCCAGTTTTCCTTAGTTCACTTAATTTTTCTGTTAATGAAAATTTGTATCTTCTTGTTCTATTTATTTTTCCTAAAAAAATAACAATTTCTTAATATAGAGAAATTAGTGATCATTTTTATAATTTATCAATCTTTCTTCTTAAATAAGTCAAAATTTTCTTAATTTTCCTAAAATAATGTGAAATTACTTGTAACA